CATGATATAATTGCCTGGACAATATCAAATATCCAGTATTACAGGGAAAGTAGTTTTGGATCAACATCTTGCATTTACAGCCTGTGTTTACCATCTTGGCTTTGGTAATTTCAGCACACACTTAGAACTTATCTAATTTGAGCCACAAAGTGGTCCCCAAAGCCCCTGACATGCAGGAAAAGCAGCCACTGAAACCTTGCCATTATATGACCATTTACAATCTTTTTGTACATGCAGCTGCATTAAAATTCCCTATAAAAATTGCAGTGCCTGAAAAATCTGCTGATTATAATAAAATCCTAATATGAAGATCTTTTTGGCATGTTGAGGGCAGAGAAGAAAACCAGACTACTCTGTTCTTGACCTGGTAACAACTCATTATTCACAGCATATAGATATTTTTTTAATTACAACTAATTTTGTTACTGTTAAAAACTCTGATAACCACAGCTCTGAAAAAGTCTTGCTGAGGCAGTTTAAAGCATTATTGCCTCCAGCTGTCTCTCACCCCATTCTGTAGAGGATGACAGGCACATGCATAAGTTCAGCCCCACACACAGTACCCAAAAATGGGTTTGTGCAGAGCTGCAAATGACCCCAAACAGCCAAGATACAAGGAGGTTTACCCAGTGTCTTTCCTAAAGCAGAACAAATCTATCACAGAAAACAGCATTTGTCCATTTACAATTCTAAATTTAGCTGCTCCACAAGAGCAAGGACTTCTCAATAATATCTGCACAAGCATAAACAACACTGGAGAGATGATACAAGGACTGGAAAGCCTTACCTGGGACAGGTATTTGAAGATGTTACTGCCTAAAGTGTATGAAATTTGAAGTAGAACATATTTTCACAAGTAACTTGGGATCCTCTGTTATACTTGCCCAAACTACTACCCCGTCCCTCATTTAAATATCTCATAAAATAGATTTTTTCCATGATGAGAAGAATTTGTGCTTACTGAAATAATATCTAGAAGAAGGAAAAAAAAAAGACATTTCATTTAAAGATAACAAAGAACAATGCTGTCAAGTGCAGAAGTGCCCTCAGATAATGACACTGACATCTCTGAGCTTCCCCTTCTCAAAAGCTTGGTGTTTGTCTCTTTTTCCAACACTGCCAGCTGTCAGTTTTAGATTGTGAGCTTTGAGGCAGGGATGAACATTGCACAGGAAAAAAAAAAAAACAAACTTTTCCCTGGTAATCACTGCACTTAGAAAAGTTTCATTTTGCTCCCAGTCACCTTTTTTTTTTCTCATTTTAACACAGCAGTTAAAATGAAACCCTGCAGCCCTGCTGTCACAGTCTGCTCCAGAGGGTTGAGGCTGGCAGCAGGCAGTGTAAGACTGGGATAAAGTCCCAAAGATTTTATTGCCTGAAATTACTTCTCCTGGCCACCCATCAGTGCAGCTGAAAACACTAAGATTCCTTATATTCATCCTACCTTTCACAGTACTTGCAAAAAGGAGGAGTCTAAAGAAATTACGGATGCAAAAATGAGGGGTTTTCAGTATTTTCCCAGAGCTGTGCTGGGGCATGGAGCCATTAACAGCTTCTTCTCCATTCACATCCTACTCCTTTAGCACTTACAGCTCATGGAGCTCAGGGGATTGTCCTGGGGACAAGGGATAGGGAAAGGAATAATTTCTTTACAGAATGACTAGAAAAATCCGTGTGTAGGAAGCTCCTCTTAAATACCCTTCTACAGTGCTTTCATGCCATCAACAATAATGGCATAGGCTTTGGCTAAAAATGCTGAGATCTAGGTATAAAGTCAGTACGTAATTAGAAAAAAATTGTATATGTCTATGTAAAATGAGGGGGGAAATCAGGTTTACTTGAAGTCTGTATTTGGTTTAGCAAAAGACATATAATCTTTGGGAAGTGCTTCCTTTAAGCAATGTTCCAGGCAACGCTGCAAATGACAGGAAAGCACCACCTCAGTGATGCTGCCATTTTTTGAAAGATATGTTAATTAATTGGTTAACAAACCAGTGTTTGGTTTGGCCACTCAAATGACATACATGAATATTTTCAGAGAAAAATACCCAAAGAAATCAACCAAATTCAGCTCTTCAGGGGGAAGATGCATCGTTCTATCCATAAGAAAAAGAGCCAGAGGGAACAGGGAGAAGGGATGAAGTCAATGGCTTAAACTCCTCCTTTTGGTGACAGGGACAGTAAAAGTGAAAGATCTGCAAATCAGCTGGTCCTGGTGGATGGCTGGGGAGGCCACTGCCACCTTCAGTGACATTCCTCCCCCACAGCAACACCAGCCTGCAGAAACCCTGGCACTGCTCCCTGGCACACTCAGCTCCAGGACCCTGGTGCTGCCCAGCGTGCTGCAACTGAGCTGGAAGGCTGCTAAAGAAAGGGATAAATAAAGGGACACTCCCACCCTGGGAACAGCTCAGAGATACAGATTCCCAACACCAACTTTCAAAAAGAAAGAATCTGTATATTTATCTTGTTAGCTACAACTGTAATATGGAAAGGTAAAACAGCTCCACGTTGAAATAAAATAGCTATTGAAATAACTCATCGTTAAATCTCGATTTCTAATATTGACTGCTAAGTTCATTTACCCATAAAAGCACATTTTACTGCTTTTGCCGAGTGTAAAACTAAGTGTACTCAAAGATATTTCATTGCCAAACACTAATGAATGAAAATTAATCATAAAACCAATAAACCCACTATTTTTAAAAGCTCTTACTAAACTACCTGTGAAAGGCAGGTCAATAAAGCAAATTTTCCCAACTTTTCAACAGAGGAAGCACAAAGACTGCACAAAAATAAAACTTGCATAGTACTTCATGCTTTACCAAGTACAATTACAAAATGGATTCTTAAGCAGAAACGGAAGAATATCTTACTATGAGACAATAAGTAAACCTTAGAAGATAGCAATGTGTGTTTTTCATCACTACAGTTCTCTTTCCTGTTAAAGAATAGCACTTAAAGAAAAAATGTACTTAGCCAGAAAATAAGGGAGCACACAGAATGTGGTGAAGAAAAAATACTTCTCTGGTAGTTTTTTTTTTGCTGCCATTACACAGTTTTTTGGACTTTTCCTTAGGCTGCAGACATGAGGTTCCAAAAATGGTAAGGTAATTGACCTTGACATTGCCCCTGGTATGCTGCAAATATAAGTATTCCAGAGAAATGTAAAAGCAAAACATAATCTACCTGCCTAAAGGAGTTTATTGTGTATATATATATATATATACACACACATATATATCTATGTGTACATATATGTATATCTGCTTTGCTTATCTATCAAGCATATAGCTTTATTTTTTTTTTTGTTTAGTATTTTAGATCTGTTTCCTTTTTATTACCTGTATTATCAACAATGGTTTTTTTCACATCAACTTCTCTTGCCAGTGTCTGGTCTCCTATTTACCAGGTATTTCATAAATCATAAAGATCTTCAGGCACATGAAAGCGGAAGCCAGCTTTAAAAGTAACATTATTTAATCAGGTATATATGCAACTTTATATAATGACAGAACAAAAATCAAAAGTGAAAGATTGGTGACTGGATTTTCTATGACTTTTTAAATCCATTAAAATGCCCAGCCTTCTAATTCTGGAAGAGAATTCAGCACCAGCTGGAATCCTCAGACAGTATTAGTAAACAGTAACAAAACGTCCCTCAAATAAAAATTTTAAATCATGAGTTTAGAAAACACTTCCATAAAATGAAACACACATACTAAATTTAAAGATTCATGTCACTGACCAGGTCAAATCCTGTCACCTGGGAAACAAAGAAGAAAAGCAATACTTAAATTTGCTGAGGATGTTTTGCTTGACAGATTCCAGGAGACTTATAGAGAATGGGGTGAGATGTGACTTTACAGCAGCTGAAATTCAGAGTCCAGGGAAGCAAATTAGTGTTCCTACACCGACAACATGAAGCCAGTGTTCAATAAACCAAAAAACTTTAAAAAGGAGGTGAAGAACCTTGGAACCTACAAGTTGGTTCCAGGGTATTGGATTTCTCTTAGCTTCTCTCCCTCCAAGCACAGCCTGAGGAAAATGGAAATCTAATTCCACCCAATAAATCCACATACTAAACATGATGGCAAAGAGGAACACATTGCTGACAGTGCCCCTCAGGGTGAGCAAACTTTGAGGTGCAGCCGCTGAGGCCAAGCCCTACCCCTGCCCCACCATTTTCAGGCAATAAAACTTCAAGTGGCTGTAAATAAACTGCACTTGCTGAGGTCACACTAACAGGGTTCAACTGAGCCACAACTGAGCCAAATGAGTTTGCTCAGGTGTTTGACACATCTGGAGTTACAGCACCACAGCCACAACACATCTGCTACCCACAGCCTGAGTTCAGTAAATGTCAGTTTGACTTTAAGCACCTGCTAGAACTTTTCTTGGATTCCAGAAGGTCCCACAGAAACCAGAAACGCTAATGAAAATCAGAAGCTCTGAGTAGCCAGCTCTGGAGCACAGATATAACGTGACTTTACTAGTAAGAAACCAGCCCTGTGAAATGTGAGAAACAAGATATTTCATTGCTCCTTGTCTAAGCCTTGCTTGCTAAGGGCCTATTCAGCAGGGAAAAAATGATAAACAAATGACAAAACGAAATGAATCCAAGTCATGTTTGTACGAAGAGTTGGGGTTACACAACCATACAGAGCAGCAGTGAGCCAAAAGAGCCTCTTGAAATAAACATGAACTTGTCAAAAGAAGGCAGCAAATACATTCCTGGAGACATGGAGCATTACAAGATCCATGCAAAGGATACTAATTTTTCCCTAATGTCTGTGAGAGTTGGGTGTCAGCAACAGCTCAGCTCGAGGAATGTTTCAAGCCATGTTTTAATCTACTTTGAAGACGTGCAATGCCAGGAACCAGAATATGAACATTTTAGACATAAGAAAGCAGCTCTGAAATTTGGATTTGAAATTGTTCACTCGAGTCCTAACCCAAAAGGACTTTCCCAGGGAACAGAGGGAATATCAGGGAACTAACGCCAAGGCTGAATTTTATTGACATAATACTACTTTATTCCATTGTTTCAACTTTCTTACAGGCTTAAAAAAAAATGTATAGGGGTTCAGAACCACCTCAACAGAACAAGGAATACAGAATTAAGGGAGCTCTAGAGTAAACCACAAGTGTGCACACGTGGTCAGCTTTCATTACAAAAAGTAATAGGCACAATCTTTACATACGCGTTTTGGTGAAAGAAGGAGTAATAGTGCAGTGTTAAAAGGCACCAACAATCAATAATTGGGCCTTTTTTTAAAAGCCAATAACCATCTAAGGAAATTACATTTGGTTCAAAGTTATAATTTAAATATTGTATTGACTGGCATGCATCTGAACCCCTGGCAATTTATTACACAAACCTTATGTGTGCCCTTGCAAAATCAAAAAGATTTCATCAGTGCACTTGAAAGTCAGTTCAGTACAAAAGGACATACCAAAGCTTTTGGCCTGTATTTAATACCAAATTGTCTTGTTTACCTCCTCTGAGAGCACTTGTCTAACAAAGAGCTGCACAGAAGTATTTCTCCTAAAGCAAGTGTAAATTTTTTGATCCTGTAGCATTGACCTACTCCATGTGCTATGAAAAACATTAGGCACAGACCACAATTTACGTTTTCTCTTAAAAAAATACAGTATGTGCAAGTGAGGTTCACACAACAGACTGACAGCTACAACAGTAAGCTCTTTAGACTTCCCAAAGAAAAGGGTCAGTTATTTTTAATTTTCTAAGTAGTGCTGCACACTTCTGTGTGCCACTATCATATCTGCATTAGGAGCACCTGTGGAAGCAGTAAGGAAAAACTTCAGTACACCCTAATGGACATGATATTAACACTGTGTGCTGATTGAAATGGGTCAGTCTCCAGGAGACTGGAGAAATCATTGTACATGGGCAGCTGCAGCCAGCCAGGGAGGGCCACTGCTTCCTGCAGAAAGAATGGTTTGGAACCCAGGTAACCTCACAGGTGCCCTCAAACTCACCCACGTGCATACAATGGAATAGAGGGATGCACAGCATGGGAAAAAAGGGGAAACGAGAGGGAGAGCTTCTGTGCAAGTTGTACCACAAGGTGCCAGTTTATCCCACAGCATCGTGCCCAGGGTAGGGTTTATGCACTGCAGATTTTCTGTACAACTGAAAATTGTACAATATATGAGCAAAGATAGAGCTGATTATTACCTGCAGTATTTACTACAGTCCTCAAGTATATAATTTACAGATAGCTGCATACTGTGGTGTTGATTGCTTCCTCTTAAATGCATTAAAAATCTGAAGGCTACAGTATACTCTGACAAAGACAACTTGTCTACCAGGGGAAAATGTAAGATAGTAACTAATTTGTTTTATGAGGAACCTCCTCTGATGTGCTAGTTACTTCATGCCCTTCAGAAGATTTTTTGTTCTGACTTTCTTCATCACCTCTGTTGAATTACTCTCCTGAAAATTTCACAGGAGTTCAGTGGCCCTTCTTACAGCTGCCTTTGCTTTTTTCCAGGATCCCTTTTAAATTCACTCTAACGCCACAGCAAGCTGTTCAAGTAAACATTTCCCTCTGGCAAGTTTCCAGATACCACAAATATTATCAAAACTCAGCATTTGATTACATGCACCAGTTTTCTTTAAATGGAGCAGGAATTAGCCCGTTTTCTTGGCTTAGGGTCCCGTACATCCCTGTCTTTTGAACACACACAAGATGAACATATTGTCTCTGACAGTCTCCGTAGTCCCAGCCTGAAAACGCTGTTGGAGAGGCTATATATCACACAGTTGCAGAAACTATTGCTTATAGCAAGCCACGTAGTTAAGAAGGAGAGTGCTGGGTTTTCCAACACCCTAGAGCTTTCCAGCAGAAAGTATATGATATAAGGGAGCCAGAGCACGTAGAACACGCTGGTTATCCGGAACAGAACCGTGGCATAGCGGCGGTCGGGGCTGTGCCCAGCCTCCCCAGCAGCATCCCCTTCGTGGTTGGGAAATCGAGCTCTCCGATCACTGATCTCTTTGGTGTGCTGCCGGCAAATTTTAAAGATGTGGAAATAGGTGAAACATATGACAAAGGCAGCAGGAGCGTATAGTAAGCACACAATAAAGCCAGTAAAGTAGGCATTAGTTAGCCAGGAGGTAGCACACCATTCAAAAATATCTCCATGGTAACCAGGTTTTCCCCAACCGAAAAAAGAAGGCAAAAAGATCAGGCAAGAGTATATCCAGATCAGACTGATGCAGATTCTCAAGCGACAAGGTGTGACCAGTTGGTTATAGGAGAGAGGCTTTGTTATAGCGAGATAGCGATCCACACTGATGCAAGCAAGACATGCCATAGATACGCTTTTGAGCACAGAGATGATGTATCCAAAAACTTGACAAGTCAAGGACTCGTGGACACCTGTTGAGTAGTGGAGCAGTGACAAAGTAGGAACCAAGCAGCTGACTCCGACAAAAAGATCAGCATAGGCCATGGTCTGAATAAAACAGCTGGTGGTGTAATGATGCAGGAGTGGAGCACAGTGGAAAACAAATATCACAGTTAAGTTACCCGCAATAATTAAAAACGTTAGCAAGACAATAACGACTGTCTCAAGGATACAGATGTCAACTGCATTGTAGTGACCAAATCCAAGAGGGCAGGAGAGGTGCTCAGATATGTTCATAACACTACTGCTCATATTCAGAGTCCTCCATTCAATCCATCGGGACTGGTTCATGTTTTGTGCTTAGGGAACAGTGCAATCTGAGCCTTAGTGAGCAGGTGACCTGCTGAACAGCAGCTAAACTCTGCTTCAGCGCCTCACGGTCTCTCTTTGCAGACACTGCCAGTGCTTACATGGGAGAGGATTAGAGTCCCATAGCTGTTGATGCCTCCTCAGCATCAGTGCATCACCTCTGGCACACCTTGGCTTTAAGGAAAGAACGAAAGAAAGAAAGAGAGAAAGAAAAGAAAAACAAAAGCCAGAAAGAGAAAGGCCACTGATCAGCTCCTCCAGTGCTCTTGACCCATCTTTAGCAAACACAAGGCACTTCTAAAACAAACAGAAATAAAAACTGACAAAAGAGACACATTCATTTACCAGGGAAGGAGGGGAGGGAAATCTCTGAATTATTTTCCTGAGAAAGTCCTTTACTTTGGAATATACTGGGGAGAGGGAGAGGAAGGGAAGGAGGAACCTCAGTACAGCTCAGGTTTCCTGGACCAGGCAGTTACTGGAGATAATCTTTATGTCTTAGTTTAAATCACAGACTGGAGATTAGAGGAAAAAGTTCATCCTCTAATGCTGTCTTTTCTTGTTCAATTCTAAAGATGGTACTCCATCTTATCCATGCTATTCATTGGAAAGGTAAACATTTTTGTCAAGGTTAATTCCAATAGACTCACCACTATTTGTGTATGAACAATGAATTTTATTTAGGGGGAGACAGGTGGGGGATGAAGGAGATTTGTCCTTTGGCTCCCAAGAAAGAAAGCATACATCTCGCATACAATGAGGAAGATCATGTCTATTCATTTAAAAATGAAAATAATTTAAAAATAAATTTTGGAGACTCGTGTCAATATTTACAGTTCCTTTAAACAGTTATAGTCCATTATAATTATGAATGCCAGAATCATAATTCAGTGTGTCCCCATAGACAAAATAAATCCTCTTGAATTTAATTTCAGCAATGGCAATTTAAAAGAATCATCTTTAGAAACTCTGCCATATCTACTACAGTGGATCAGTACCCAGGAGTTCATAGGTATATCCATGATATTGCTCACCTCTGTAGCAACAACTGAATCATTTCACAAAACCCCACAGAACGAGCTCAGAAACTTCCATCTGCATTCTGCTGGGAAGCTAATGAAATGCTGATTTGACTAGAAAAGCTGCCATTGTTTACTAGTCCATTATTCTGTTGCTCAGCTTCATCTTCTCAGGGGTTTAAGGTTTCTGAATTTATTAGATAATCTGCATAATAAATAGTTGCTTTAAAAAATTGTTCTTGTACTTGCAGGACATTACCTTGTTCATTTTATTCACAGCTATGGAGAGAGAAAACGTTGAAAGAAAGCATCTTCTGTGTTCAGTTTTAAGTAAATGCTTGATTAGTTCAGGAATCATTAGGCAGGTAATTAAATGTATACAATCTTGTTTTTTGAAAGGTCCCTAAAGCGTTAAAACCATCATTAATCCTAGAGTTCCTGAGACTAGAAGACCAGCAGTGAAAATTAATGAATCCATATAAAATCATCTCCAAGGTCATTCAGCTGGCATTTGCTTTAAGTCTCTTTAAAAGTACCAGGATCTCTCTGAGGTTTCTGATAGTCCTTGCCGTGTCTTCAGGAGGAATTTCAGATACTAGAAAAGCCAAATGTTCAATTCTGTCGCAGCACTTTGAGAGAAAGCATTCTTTTTGGAGTTAATTTCCTGTCGTGCACCGCCACGCTGTACAGAAAAGTCCTTTCAGATTTTATAACATCCCCGAATATTTCCGCCTGTTTGCTCCCTTTGTCTATAAGCAACAGAGCACGTATAAAACCACTCGTTTCTCCAATTCCCTGCTAAAGCAATAGAGAAGCTTTCTCACCTACGCGCATCCTCAGCAGCCGCTATGTCCAATACTTGCCAGGGAGTCAGTCCTGTTACCGCGGTGCGGCTGGAGCGGCTGCCGCTGCCTCCCTGCTCCCCCCGTGCGATGATTGCCTGCACCTGAGCCCGCTGCTCCTCCTCCTCCTCCTCCTCCTCCTCCTCCTCCTCCCCGCCGCAGCCCGCGGGGCGCTGGAGCGCTGCGGCCGCTCCCCTGCTCCCGGCCCGTCCAACGCCCCGGGAGCGGCCCCGGCAGCGGCCCCGGGAGCGGCCCCGGGAGCGGCCCCGGCAGCGGCCCCGGGAGCGGCCCCGGGAGCGGCCCCGGCAGCGGCCCCGGCAGCGGCCCCGGGAGCGGCCCCGGGAGCGGCCCCGGCAGCGGCCCCGGGGCCACCGAGCCGGGCACCCGCGGCCGCTGCGCTCCGGCTGCCTCAGGAGGAAGCCAGCACATCGCTCCTAGAGAGATGTGCGTGCATCATCCAGACATAACCTAATAAACTACTGTCATCGCCCCACTGAAACTGTTTGCTAAAACGCGTTATTTAAAAGAATCATCCCACGGTATTAATTGTGCGCTCACCTTTCAAGGATCACCTGCTGAGGTTTAGCTTGGTAAAATAGCTGCTGCGGTGCCACACAAATTTTTTAGTCTTCCTTAAAAGGCAGAATTATAGTCCCCTTTTTAATTACATCCCAAATTAATTACTTCCAAACTATGCTACAAAACTCATCTGTACCGATTTTTGATACTATTCCAGTATTGCCAGTACCTCAATAGCTTCAATATCAGTTTAAATACAAATACTTGCAACACATTATTTTCCTAAATGAGCCAATTAACTCAGCTCTACTCCTGCAAACAGATGCAGCTACTCCCTGATTAAGAACTCAAAACTTTTGGTTACTTCATGCTTCCTAAAAATAAATCCAGTCACAGAAGTACAAACATCAAAGTTATTTTACAGACACTCCATGCATCCTTAGACACTGAAACAGCAAATTTAGATACCAAAACACCAACCACAGAACAGCATTTGGGCTATTAACCAGCAGAAGACATGTCTTGGGAGGCTTTAACCAACCAAGTCATTAGCAACTACAGTGATTTAAGTCCTTCTAGCTCCATGGCAAACCAAAGGCAAAATTTTAATAACCTGCTCCTGAGTTAACATCTTGTATTTCGAGTATTGCCTGGAGCAAATGTCCAAGTCTGAATGACAAGTCTGTAGCAACGTGAAGCAGCACAAACTGCAGCAGTGTAAGAGTGGTTTGCAGCAAGGGCATGTGATCATTCCAAAGTCCTCTATCAGAGGATTTAAGAAAAAATTAAACTATCTCCGATACCTCAGAATGGTAAATGGCTATAACAACAGACAATGACTAAATTTAGACCCTGAGCACAGCTTTAAGCCCCAGTTATCCATACCAGAGCAGAACAATAGGGAGCAATTTTTATTCCTCCTCTTCCCACTCCTCCTGTGGGGGAGGAGGAGAACAAACAGCGTGCATAGGCATGGCAGTGACCAACACTTCTCTCTGGGGCAGATCATGGTTGGCACCAGGGATATAAACAGCCCAAACACCTTAAAATGGACATTAGGGACCCCCAAGGGCACACAGGGGGCATGAGATAAGCAAAGGTACAGCCTGACAAAGCAGATCACAGGAACTATGTACTCGGTACATCCTGCTCTGCACAGATTTAAGGACTGGTAACTACTGAAGCTTCCAAAAGTCACAGTAACCATTCAGCCACCTTGGTCTCGGGTCAGCCCCAGCTGGTGCCTGCTGTGTGTGCCCAGCTCGGAGAACAAGCACTCCTGGCAGCCAAATGTTTCAGGTCTGCTAGGAGAAGTCCAGGCTCTGCTGAGCAGGTAACAGGAAAATCAATGGCAGCCTCTGCTGGCTGGTTCTAGACGCAGGTAAAAGGTGTCCTCTAAAGAAATTTTAACTAAAGGGACAAAGTGGTTCAAAATCAGGGAAGTTTGACTTCTTTAGGAATATGAGCAGTCTTGCTTCACTACCAAAAAACCAGTCATGCTGCAAGCTGCCAGTGGCTTTATCACCTCAGCCACTCACTGTAAACTGCGCCATGCTAACAGCACCAAGTTGTACTGTTTTATGTATATTTTGGGGCAAGTGAAAAGTAATCAGAAATCAACTAGTCCTGAGGAAACTACACAGTTACAGAGAATTTTACAAAATGTAGCAATACCAGAAAGTTGTATCAGAGACAGTACATTAAAAGCTGTATGAGAAAAGTTTTTTTTTATTTGGAGATTAGGAGCACATTTGGGCCTCTGGCAGTTTTAAACAAAACCTGCTTCAGGATTTTTTTTCTAATTTGTGTTTTAAGAGAAGGAAGCGAGGAAGAGAAAAGTTCTACTGGAAAAATTGCCTTACTGTCACCAAGGCAGCAACCTACATGGTGCCCATGTTCCCACAGCTGGTTATATCCAGCTGGTGGATTGAGCACTCTTCAAGCCCAACAGAAGGAGCAATTCCTCACCTTCTTTATAAATTATGCTAAAAACAATACAAATCACCATACAAAACAGAAGGCTCACACCATCTGATCCTGCTGAAAACAGAGGGGATGTGGTAGGAGCATGAGCTTTGTATATGCAAAGCAAGGCTGTGAAAGCAGTGGTGATGTGGGACCCTGGAAGGAAACCAGATAAAGCTTCTCAGACAGAAAAAGTCCATATGGAAGGAGATTTAGAAGCTCCAAGCAAGAAAACAATCTATTAGTCATTATGTTTGAAAAGGAATAGCAGTATTTGTTTGCTAAATCCTTTGTTGTAAGGAAACAGGACTGATAGAAGCAACCCCTGCAGTGCACAAAGCAGCATCTCAATCACACCACTCATTTCTAGTTTGAAGTCTTCCCTTGTTAAATTATTGGATGGTCAGCTGGATTAAATGGACAGCAATCGTTTCTGTAAAATCTTTCTGAAAGGCATTGATGAGAGCAAGGAGGTCCAGCTGAGTGTGGGATGAGGAACATAGCAGTTATTTATTTAGATGCAGACCTGAATGACAGTGTTGATATACATACCAGCTCATCAACTTCTATTTTTCTGCCCAAATCCTGGGGTTTTTTTGTTATTTTACAGCATTTTTTTCTTTTATATACTTTCTCCTAAGCCTAAAGGTGCTTCTTTCAGCTTGCTTTATTTTTAATCTTAACTACCTCTGGTATTTACTTTTACATGTATCTTATGGATACCTTGGTTTTGTTTTTACTGCCTCAAGAATAATTCTATTCTATAAGGCTTGCATTTGTAGTACAGCTTAAAAGTAACAGAGAACAAAGGAAAATCATTAGTTGCCTTAAAAACTGTGTGTGTGTATGTGTGCATAGACAGGACTTTCTACATCATATTGGTGTTTGAAGTTGCTCTATGAAGTCATATTAGTGCTGTATTTAAAGCAGAAATCTGTTCTATTTGTTATTTGGAATATAAAGCCTCTTCCCCAAATCCACCCACTGGAGCTGTCTATTTAAAACCTGCCGGAGAGCTCGCGCTTACACAGAACACACGGGGATTTTGACCTCAGCGCAGGCATATGATGAGATAGAAGAACTGTCTATATATATATAAATAAACCCATTCTTTTTTTATCAAAACAAGCTTAGGCTTCTCAAACCCCTTACACCTGGATACCATCTGACCCCATGTCCTGCTCCAAAGGGGGAGCTAAAGTTCTAAGTCAGAGCCAACACCCAATTTAAGCCATGTTGTGCTGGGTTCTCATTCAGCTGAGCTATGAACATCTCCAAGGATGGAGTTCTCATTGGGCCCCTGTTCCAATATCTGACCACTCTCTCTGTGACTCCAACCATCAGCTCAGAATTTTTCTTGCTGTGGCTTGTCTTCATCCTCATCGAGACCAAACACACTTGGGCCAGTGGCAAAAACCCACAAGTGTCAGCTCTGAAGGAAACAGTATATTGTAGAAACTTTTAAACCATTTCTCCACCTGCCAACCTCATTTTTCAATGTTGCTATCAGAGACCAGTTCCTTTCCTTCTCCCTCCCACCCTATGATCCTAAAGAATGCCATGAGTCATTTTACAATGCTACAGCTCATGTACCTGGTGCTGCAACAAAGATCAAGAGACACCAGGTACACAGCTGCAGCTCCAAAATGCAGATGGCTCTTGTGGAGCTCTTACCTCTTGGGCACAGGAAAAAAGCCAGCACAGGCCTTTTCTGCATTAGGGCAAAACTGAATTTGCTGGCAGCAGCAAAGTAGGTTCTGAAAGGTGAGGCAGAAGGAAGAGGCTGGTATAATCTGGAATCAAGGGTGGAGGCAAGTTCAGAAGACTGCAAGGGGACAGCAGCCTTCTAAAAAGTCAAGAGAGGTGAAGGGAGCTAATGATCCCTTCGCCCTTTACTACTGCTGCTCCGGCAGGCTCAGGTTCAGCCCGACCCTCTGCTGGACTCACAGCTCAGCCCTTTTCCAGCACTGCTTCTAATGATGCAAATATTACCCAGTATCACACAAGTGTTAGGTAATTAGGATGCTGTGATGCAGAACAAGAAGAAATGGGCAAATTATTATTTTATGTGGATCAGTAGAGAGAGATGGGCATTCACATTTGCAAGTTTATTGTGCAGTCTTTTCATGCTGTTAAGCAACAATTACATCAAATGCCTCTAAAGTTTGAAACTTTCAAATTACTCCTAATATTATTCATGAATTTAATAAATATTATGCAAGATTTTGAAGTAAATTGCTACAATCTCCTTTTAAACATTACTGCCTGTGATCTCATGGATTATATTTCATAGCATCACACAATGGTTTGGATTGGAAGGGATTTTAATGATCATTTTGTTCTAACCCTCCCCACCATGGGCAGGGATGCTATTCAAAGATGCATACATAGCAAATATTTTTCTGAATTTCATATAAAAGAACATTTTCCTTAAGGAGGAGCTTCCCTTGAGATGATATTGATGGTCCTACAGCAAATTGAATCCACTTTACAAGCTCAATCCAGATGACAAATACCACCAAACTCTTGTGCCCCTGAATCGATGGAAATAACTCTGTGCAATAAACTATCAATCAAGAAGTGAATTTACTTCAGGGAAATGCTGTGCAGCCAAGTTAATGGTGACAATTAACATCTTTCAGGAGCCAAAGAGCATTTGCTTTAAACAGCACATAAGCTACAAAAGGATGCTATTTACTGACTGACCATATATGATAAGGAGCACCAGATAAACTTCTTAAGAT